TATCCATATTGAATCTTATCCACACGGCCGCCGTGCGTATAGCCATATTGAGTCGGCCACACGGCCGCCGTGCGTATAGCCACTTCCGTCGGATCCGGCTGTTTTTCCATTTTTCAAGGTCTTAAGTGCATTTTTTACTTCAGCTCTGGTAATAGGACCAGTTTTTATGGCACACGCTTTCCTACCTGCTCTCTTATTCATGTTGTTTGTGCACAGGGCGGGGGTGCGGTGTACTCGTGTGTTGCAGATGAGCATTTGACCGGCATTTACGGGTAATTATCGGCAATAATAGGCGAAATAGAGTAGAGAAACATTAAGACTTTGGTACTAAATACATTTCGTGTTTATTTACCATGATTTTTTTAAATTGAGACGTTCCAAGTGCCTGTGCTTCAGACTTCAGTGTATGAACAACGCAGCGTCACTGGCAAGGGGATCAAGGCCTCCCCACCACGCTAACGCTGTACAGTGATTAATACTATATTATATTACTAGTAGTACATCCATGAACCAGTAGTACTAGTACTAGTGACGTAGTGACACTGACAGTGGCAGTGCTGTGTATCACTATCACTATGACTATCACTATCAGTATCACATTCACAGTATCAGCCGCTGCGGACATGTGTTCAATCACTCGCTGATTCAGTTACGCGTTTCAATGGTCACTTACCATGTTTGCTCTGAAATTTTCCCATAGTCCGGAGTACTCTTCATTCATCTTACTTTTCCTACAGATACCCACACAATATGAAATCTCATCGCTCTCACATTAGCCTATATACTCGAGCACAAATACGCGAAGTTGACGACAAATTTCTTTTTTGTTGGTACATACCTCTATGTTGAAATGCTGGCGTTTACTCTTAATGATTAAATATGGGTAACATTAAACTAAATTTGAATCTGTACAATTATGCATATAATTTGCCTGGTGCTAGCATAAAACCTCAATGCGTTTTATTTTATATTATTCATGTGTTTATTCTCAGCCACACGCTATTCCATCTTGTAATAGGTATAAACAACATGGCGACTGGAAGTGGAGGTAATTTTGTTTGTGGTCCGTTTGTTTTAATATCTTTCGTTTCCTTCTTTGTGTAGTGTTTAATTATAATCATCTCCAGCAAGGTATATGGTATGTCGTGTCAGAGGTTGCAACTTACACTAGATTAATACTAACAACAGAGCGGAGAACATTTGTTCTTCTCTATCAGTGTGTGCACAGACACTTGTGTCGTGACTTGGAACGTCTCAATAATAAAAAAAGGTAAATAAACACGAAATGTATTTACTACCAAAGTCTCAATGTTTCTCTACTCTATTTCGCCTATAATCACCTGTAAATGCCGGTCAAATGCTTATGTGCAACACACAAGTACAGGCCTCGAATTAAGCGACAAGAGGGGCAAGGCAATTTTTTGGGGGCATGTGAAAAATTGCCTTGAATTTTCTCTAAAATGGATGGGCACCGAGGCAATTTTAATAGGCATCAAGGCAACTCTCACAATTTGAGAAGGGCACCAAGGCACTTTTGTTTTTTACCGTGTATGTACAGAACGTCTCCCGCCCACATGTACATCGTCTTCCGCCCCCATGTAAGCTTACACCGTAACACCGACCCCTGTACCCCCCTCTGCTAATGGAAGTACAGTAACAGGGTTCAACATTAACTTTTTATTTCACTAGACCATCGGGCTAGTAACTGAGGAAAACCACTAGCCCTGACCTAACTTTCACTAGCCCAGACCCAGACCATTGTTATGAAAAACTTTTTGTCATCGTATGAATTCTACACAAGCTACACACCGTACAGATCACAGCTGGCCATTCTTGCGCGAGCGTTGTTTCCGAACGGGCATACACAGGCGCACGATTTATCGATCGTCTACTGGCAGCGCTTGGCAGCAAGCCACGTTATATAATATTGTTTTTGCCGAAAGGTAGCCTGGTAATACCAGTGATATCCGGCCTCACGCTCTGCTGGACAATGTACACGCTCTGCGACAAACAGTGCGGCCGCGAACCAGTCTAGCCAGAGGCACCGACGGCCATTACAGAAAAGGGCAAGGCAGGTCACTGCCGTCGGTCGGGTTGGATTTTCAGGGGCAGTACGGCGATTGAGAGGGGCACCAACGGCAATTGCCGTCGGTGTCGTCGGTTAATTCGAGCCCTGCACAAGTACACCGCACGCTAGCTCTAGTAACTAAAGAACGTAAACTACCCTATACAATACTCTAGTCTCTAGTCGGTTCAAGGATAGAGAACATGGGTCCCAATAAAACCAATGTCATTTACATCAATATAAATATAATATTATATCAATATAATAGGTTAGGGTTAGGGTTAGGCACATTGGTTTTATTGGGACCCATGTTCTCTATCCTTGGTCCCTATACTCCTATAGTCTATAGCCCACGTACAGTTGCCGCTGGGCTATAGAACCAGCCATTAGGGATGCGCAGGACCAACTTAGTCGCGCTAATTCGCGACTATAAAATGTCTGTGATAGGCAATTAATGCCTCTTATCCGAAGTGAATATGCATTAAGTTATATCAGCTACTAAAATTTAACCTCTAACTATCGTTGAAATGGTCTACTTGCGGTATTTCTGGTGAACAAACATTTGATTTGCGAACTTCAAACGGCCATTTTTGGCGGCCCTGCAGCAGGCCAGCAGCGCCAGTGAGCGGGAACTATGTATTTCCGCACGTGGAGGGGTGGGCTGGTTGGGTTTTGGTTGTGGACAAAAACATTGTTGTTGTCAAGTGACAAATTAAGCGATCAAAAAAGATTGTAATATTAGTTTTCTCATGAAAGATGAACAAATTACTATTATTAATTTGTTACTTGACAACAACAATGTTTTTGTCCACAACCAACACAACCCGCCCACCCCTCCACGTGCGGAAATACATAGTTCCAGCTGACTGGCTGGAGTAAGTTGGTCCCGAGCATTCGTAATGGCTGGTCCTATAGCCCAGCGGCAACTGTATGCGGGCTATAGTTACTAGAGCTAACCGCACGCTAGCTGCTGCACACTGACACATAAATATATAGCAGGTAGGAAAGCGTGCTGCCAAAATTCGCTCGACGCTCGCTTGATTTTATACGAATACAACACAAATATTCAACCATTCTACTCCATCTTTGTTTCTATTTGAAGAACAGTGTTCACTTGTTATAAAAACATACTGTTTGTGTTCGTAACCGAGCTGTGTCACGCAAAATCACACAAAAAATCACACGCTCCCGTTTCGCAGTTTATGTAAATGGCTTTCGGAATCAGGAAACACCCACCGGCGCTCTTCGTGACCTCATTTTTGCGCTGCAACGTTTTTGCAACGCTCCACTGGCGGCTTTGACGAGGCTCGTACGGGAGTTGGAAAGCAGAGTGGTAGTTTCCCAAAATGCAGTGCGCCGCCTATAGCCCTGTACTTGCAGCCATTTACATAAACTGCGCAACGGGAGCGAACGCGAGAATTTCGTCAGGCTTTGTGTGATTTTGCGTGACACAGCTCGGTTACGAACACAGACAGTATGTTTTTATAACAAGTGAACACTGTTCTGATGAGCATACAGATGAGCATTTGACCGCCATTTACAGGTGATTATAGGCGAAATAGAGTAGAGAAACATTAAGACTTTGGTAGTAAATACATTTCGTGTTTATTTCCCATGGTTTTTTTTATTGAGACATTCCAAGTGCCTGTGAGTGTGTGCATTTATCTCAGTGAGCCACCCTGGAGTGTAATATGATTACAGTGTCTATTACAATACACCGAAGATTATTTGAATAGCCCAAGTAATTCCTCGTATAATCCGCTTTACAGATGCCAATGTCGATGATTTGGCATTCTCTGAAGTTATCGCTGTTTCAAGGTATGGTCTAATTCTAATTGTTTGTACAGTTATAACATACTAAATCAGATTGATCCTCATTTATGTTGCTTGTTATTGTCGTTTGATTTCATTATTGATTTATGTCCTCTGAAATACTCTGCTCTTATAATTCCATTGAAGTTTAATGGAAAGAATATTTTCTAAACTGTCTATCTCCACATAATGATTGTATGACATGATTCAGCTCTTCCGCGGAGGACCAGCAATTTGACACAGTGATCGGGCACATGGAAGACATTATCATTGGTAATTTGTTGCATTTATTCACATGTTAAGTATACATAAATATGAATCGCCAAGGGATTTCTTGGTATTTAGGTGTATTGTCAAACACAATCTGTGTTGGGCGTATCTGTGAGGTAAGATCATAATGGAACAATTATTTCAGATGAAAGGTTCCGACAGCTGCAAACTACGTTTATGGAGGAGCACTACAGAGAGTTTGATGATTCAGAGGAAAACAAGTTCAGCTACACGGATATATTTCGAGCATATGTAGGTGTTGGCTGTTGGCACGCTGTCGCTGGATAGCCACACGTTGCTGCCATGCACTCTCACCACATACATGTTAGAAAGTTGCCCAATTAACAAAAATTCAAATGAATCCTAATTATGTGAGCTTAGTCGCAGTACTGTTGGTTATTCATTAGTTTTTGCGAGAGGTGAGCATTAAATCGTAAATCTGATCCAGATGTAATTGACATTTGTGTGACTAACTGATGGTCATCTGTTTTAGAATACATTATTAGAGAATTTCATCCAGGAATCATTGATACAGCGGTTACCCAATTTCTCCATGGCAGATTTCATCAGGCAATTACAGTAAGTTCCAACTGCATTCTTCATCATTGTCGATGTTGTGTTGGTGATAGGTTACAATGCATGATAACGGGCATGGGTTATAGTCTCCGGCAACCTATAGTCACCATTATAAATAGCAAGTTAGGGTAGTGGATGAATTGGTTATTGTCAGGGAAATTTTGTGTTCCTCTGACCAATAATGTAACCCTGAATGCTCAATGAACTGTATGCATAAGTGATTACCAATTCTTTTATGCGATACTAAAATTATGCAAAATAAGGTTTTAATCGTGCACTGGTTTTTTCAAACAATCATGAAATGGCTTGGTTCTGTCAGAGTATAAATATTTATAATTACCGCTATTAATAATGGACACAGGGAAGTGATTGACAAATTTGCTTAGGCAAAACAAGTGTTTTTCAATGTGTGTTTTCTATATATAAGGGCTGCCATATCTGTACTCAGGGACTCTAAACCAGCCCCTTCCAAACCTCTGACACTAATTGCACGAAGTAGTGCTCTCCTATACCATAGTGCAGATGGCATTGATTTCTTTCCTATAGGATGCGTAGAGATGAACTGGATGGTGAAGTTTTTGAGATCTTGCTATCCTTCTCCGACTTTCTGGCATTCAAAGAAGCGATTCTTGATTTTAAATCGGTGAGGCATGGTGAAGTTATTTATTTACATGGAGAAGATTTAGAATAACATCGACTTAATTAACGTTGAGATGAGTATGATACCAGGAATATCATTGACAGACATACCCATGTAAATCATTTATTGTTGCTTTACGGGGCTGCTAAGCATGTGCTCGTTTGTATCAGTTAAACATTTTCTTGCGAACATAATCAACTCGTGTGGCGAGAACTGATAGATTATCCCAGCATATCATTGCAGTCCTTCACATGCTTAACTGATCTATAAAGCTGACTTATACATGGCATGTTATCGTAGACACTGCCAGGCAATAACCTGTGATGGGACGTTTTGTTGTTTCAGGCAAAAGAGGGTAGAACAGTAGATCTAAGCTCTGGTATTAGCATAACGTCATCCAACCACGGAGTGCCATCTATGGACGAATTGTGTAACAACTCTCCAGGGTCATTTAACTAACTCGGTTTCTCAGGTAATCATGTGTATGTAAATGCTAGGCCTATTTTGTTATTTATCAAGGTCTAGAATGTAATTATCATAATGACATGGGTTTATTTTGATTATTTCCTTTTATATTGTAGTCAATCTTTCGTCTATCATCAGTTTTCATTGGTCAGAAATAAATGAACGATTGAATTGATGTTGAAGACTGCTATACTGATAAATGCATTACACATACTATAATCAGATATATAGACCATGTCATATTATATATTGTCCTAGGAGTAGCATAAATGGACTAACTTATGCTCCAAAGCGAGGCATGTGACATGTAGTTCAGAGAATTCCTGTACGAAATCATTCCATTGCAAATACCATCCATCTTTCCTGTTTGTGTATTTTGTACAGGTACAGTGTCAAGCCTCCTAGAGTCATGGTTTTGGTGATATTGTTGTTGATCCCGTAAAGTATGAGCGAGAGAGAGCCAGAAGTTATCCATACAATGCCCAGGACACAAAGGCTCTGCTGGTTTAATCTGATCATCAAGCATGCAAGATTCGACCTTTACAGGGAATTTTGCATAATCACCGATGCTCATGCCACGTGAAGTTACCTGATAACACCAGATGGTACCTTGTGTCACCAACCCTAGATGATAGAAATCCTAAAACCAGATCTCTGTGATTAAATCAAGGCTTGACAACATTGTGTACTTCGAGAGCATATTGTATATATATATATAATGTTTGTAACTCATAAATGCTATTATTCCATCCCATAAAGCGGTTTCTTGCCAAACGTAACTATTCACTTGTAATACAGGGTGCAAAACAGATATGTGCAATATTTCCTCATAAATCCCACAAATAGTGAATTTGATGGAGGGTGACTAGTTGTTGAACCGTGGGCGAGTACCATCTGGGTGGGAATTTTTTTTACATATCTAAAAGATATTTGATCATAAGATGTGATTATGGTTTTCTTGTATGAATGTAAAATCATCGTATGTGTGTTATTATGCAGTGACACCAATAATATATCCAACCATAGACTGGTTACTCAACATGTACCCCGCAGGTACCAGTCCTTGGCTAGAGTAAGTACACACAGCAAACACCATCATATCACATACACGTGTGATATGCAGGTCTAATACGGTCGGTAGTGAGTTGACCAGTGCTGGCCAGCTGAACATGAAACCAACATGCTATATGGATAATAGAATCAATTCTATAAACGAATGTCATATGACGCTAATGTGACGTATTGTGAAAGACTTAGATACACAGTTATTCTCAGTAGAAATTGCTTAAATTGATAGGGCTTTTCTTCCATCTGTGTGCATTTGTACTGCAGGGGACTAAACAGTGAGTTCCAACAATTGAAGTCTTTTAACAATAATACACCATATTGATATGTAAAGATAGCAGTTATATTGCATCGTTTAATTTGAGCTTACAGTGGTCCAGGATGTAACCATCATGAAATCATTGTTTGACATAGCAATGTCACACATCGGCGACTTTGTACATGTGGATTTTGTTTTATCTTCACACAGCCAGCCGGTTTTAGCCACTAGTCTGTGCGTCGAGTTGAAAACCGATTTTCATCCATCACAATTTCACGATCATCCGATTTTTCACCACTGAAACAGTGGTTTTTGTTTCATGCAGTGGGTGAGAAAGTGAGCATGTGAGAAGTTTATCAGTTTTAATTTAAATAGATTCCTGACGTGTTTAATTTTCGCACGTTATAAGTGCATTATATTACATGCTATTTATTTATTCAGTGTTCCACATTATTTCTTCCATCACAATGTGCCTGTATTTTTCCAATATTTCTCAAAGTGCTAGTGCTATTACCAGCTAATACTACATTATGGTGGTCATTATATAATATGAATTTCCCTTTATTCTGTGCATTGTGATACGAAGCAACAATCCTACTCATGGGGACAAAACACAAAGATGGAATTCACACAATATATGAGTACTCTGAAAAGTACAATGATGTTCTTTTTTATCATGAAATCGTCGGTAACGGATGAGTGTGCACGTACGTACACGATTCGTACTCTCCTTACTAACACTCGGTTCAAAATCTTGATCTGTGAATACATCACACACACACACACACGATGTCACTTATACCTGGAGACGTAACTAACACTTATACTATGTCACGTAACGATGACGACGACATTGACGATGACTGAGTAAAGCTCGTTGAGGCGACCATCTCACAACAACTCGCTAACGATGTCACCATTTCATTAAGCATCCACTTCAACTCGCCACTCAGATGAGTCCGTCCACTGTACAGTAGTTTTTTCTGCCAGCATAATCGCGAACGTGCAGCCTGGTTATCGAACTTAAGACGTGTGTCTACTACACGTCACTCGACTAAACCCGAGAGATCACAGTGAAGTGAGTGATGGCCGTTGTGCAGCGCGTAGGGGGGGGGAGGGGTCGCGCGTAGGGGCGACAGTCGTTTCGACCTTACTCGGCCAGCAACAGCAGAAGCAGCGCCCTTTCACTCAATTGAGAAGGACTTCCATTTGCACGAGTCGGGCGTTGGTGTCGCCAGGGAGTCTGTAGGGAAGCATCCCGGCAAATGTGATCAATCCCCGTGCCTGTTTCCTCAGGTATTCCACGTACTGCAGTGACAAGAAATCACAGAGCATTGACAAGAGCCGAGTCTCTTGTATTCTTAATAGCTGGTTAGCAGTATCCGCAACAACAGCAAAGTGAAGCCGAGTGGCAAAGGCTGTCACACCTTACATTAGTCTCAAGGGATAAATTTTTGAAACAACAGGTTTGAACATTTTCAGATGCTATTCGAAATTTCAAGGAAAAATACAAAGAGAAATTACATAAGATTTAATTTCATGAATTAGATTATATTATTGATAGAAACAATACCTATTTGTCCAGGGTTACAAATGGACTTTTTGCCAAAGTAAGTACTTGTCACCAGAGAAAAAAGTAGGCAGCAAACATTCGCCCAGAAGAAAAACTTGAGAAAACCATAGCTGATCCACTCCCTCCCACCCCAAATGCACTGTTCTTTTGCCTCTGTTCATAAAGAAGTTGGTTTGACCTCCTAGCCCTGTTTTTCCTAATTCATCAATTATAAATATAGTCACCTATGCTTAACCGAAGTTTCACATCGATTTATGAACAGACAGTGACATAGGGCCAATGCGATTTCAAAAAAACGGCCCTGAACAACGGCCATGTTTGCAACAGAAACTCCATGTAACTTTAGCGTTTTTCGTTTAGCAGGAATTTCTTGATAGCAAGTAGTCCTCTCCGACATTAGGATCAGGCAGCAAACTGACCATCGTAGGGACCAAAACTGTTGCTTGCTGCCCTTAATTTCGAGCCCTGATCGTCTATTGCCGATAAAAAGTCATATACAAGACATTTGCAACATTTAATGTTGCAAACACCAGATAGATTTCGCTCGTTCTCAGACAGGAACTCTTGATAGAAGCTGGCATCCCCAGCAATAAGCAAGCATTTACCTTTTGCCTGCCACCATCATCATGAGGGTAGAGCTGGGAGCTGATAGAAACTTGTTGAAATCCTGGCTGTCTAACTGCTTTGTGCTGCTCTTGCATAATTGCCATCACAGCAAGCAGAATGTCTGGCATGACTCTGCGCACCTGTATAGAATAACAACAATAACACATTAGCATGTAATAGCGACAACAATATCACACGTGATTGCTGCCAAATGGTAGTGCGGTCCTCGCATTAGTGCCAGATGTGTACGGACTGTGACGATAACAGACCCGCGTCAAGCAACGTGCACTTCAACCACTCAACGTGTTTAATTGGAATTATGCGTGCTTGTCTCTGTCGCCGCTCACATGTGCCAAGTTCCATGTTTCATATCATATGAACATTGACATTTACCATAAAGACTACACGCAATGCTACTACTGCTACAACTACGACTACACTACCACCGCCACTACCACTACTATTAATAATAATAATATATATCAATGTCATAATAACATATGTTGGTGGGAGACATCTGACAACAACAACAACATCTTACCTCCTCTGCTAGCTGTCGGAAGCTATTGATCTTCTCTTCGATGTCCTGTGTACCTAATGGTATCAACTTCAGCTGCTGCATTGTCTGCATAATCAAATCACATTACAACAATAAAATAATCACATTAAAATTATAACATAACCAGACTATAATAATAACATAACCACATTATAACAATATAATCACATTACAAGAACACAACCAGACCATAACAATAACATACTCACATTACAATAGCAACGCAATCATGTTATACGAAAAATTCCCCATAAGGTTAAAGGGAAATATAATTAGTTATCACATGTATTGAAATATTCAGTATACAGCTGTATGAAAAATATATTTATCAATACATACATCTATTGCTTCTTGAAGCTTCCTGTTGTGGTACAGGTCAAAGAAGGTCATAAGGTCAAGTAACAAAAAGAATGTTCCCGCCGTCGACTGAGTTCCTGTGTGACCTTGAACTTTATACCTTCAAAATACAAGACGAATTATTGCAGGGGGAATGCAGCCTGGTTTCGCTACAAACCAAGAAGTCATCCTCGAAATACTGTATCATTGGTTAACTGTCAACGACTACCATGTAGCATGCAAGTCTGTGTGGAATCAAGAGTAGTCTAGCCATTGCTAAACGTGTTTGCATGTGCTACAATGTGCTCACCTCTCAGCTATCGAGGTCGCGAGAGAGCGTAGTCGGTCACGTGATGAGAGTTGTGCTGGCGGCTGTGATACAACCTGACTCAACATCTTATTCATAATCTCCAGAACATTCTCATCAAACTGAAACACAAGACACATTGCATAACTACATAGCTAATAGAATCACAGTTATATCATACCATTCCCTAACATTTAACACCCAATTAACGCACATGCATACATATTAGTAAACCACCCTTTGAACTTTACTCGAATAAATTATAGAGTAGTGGTACAATCATAGCATACATAACAATTAACATCAAATTAAGGAAACAAATATATCTGAAGTAGATAATAGGGAAGGAGTGTGACTTCAATAAACAAGGGAAATTCGTCATTTACTAGCCTTAGAATTATACCTACGATTTACTATGCGTAACT